ATAGTCATTATTTTGAGAAAAGGTCCAAAAACCGTGTTTTTGAGACATAATTTGTATGAGCTCACATGAGGGGGCGTTAACAGATTTTTGGATATTCTTGAAAACATTGTTAGCTGCCTTCAAACCCTTCGACAGCATGTGAGCCTAATGTGACCATCTCGACTACCTTGTACTTACTAGCTTAAGCTTTGTTATTGTGTGCTTTGTTTTTGTTTAGTTGTGTTTTGTATTTGCTTTGGTGATCTTGTTTGTCCGTCAGTATGAATTGGGCTTCCTGTGCTTTGTGCAAATTTTGAAGGGCCAACATTTTGTTCTTACTTGATAAATACAAATGAAGATATTTCCTCTTGATGTACAGATTTAAAGACGAAGGCGATGGGATTCCAAATGATTGCTTCAGATAGGCATATCCTGGTTTATGTTTTCCAATGTTTTCAATAAAACTGAACGCCTTACATAGTGACTGCATTTCGTCACATTTTGAAATGACGTCAGAGATGTTGGTTATCGGCTTGTATGACGTAATGTCCCCAAGTCCAGGGAAGTCAGTACCAGRCACCTGAATAAATAACCAAAGCAAAAATATCAGTCATTCAATTTGTATAGGAAATCGCACGATCTCGAGTACAATTTGGAAATTAATAGACACGAGTAATGTTTTGAAAGTTCTTGTAATTGCACGAGCCTTTAGGCGATGCGCGAGTGCAATTAAAGAATTTTCAAAACATTACGAGTGTCTATTAATTCCAAATTGTACGAGAAGATCGTGCGATTTTTTGTTTATAGTTCACTCAACCAAATTTCAGTAAAAAAATGCGAAGCGACGCCGTTCATCTTTGTCTATTTGGCGGCCGATTTTCAGTCCATCGCGCAACTGAAATGCATAAAAAAGATTAGTTCTTACGGCTTAAAAATTTATTTATATGTTTTTTAAGTACAAAATGATAGAAAATAATTGTTTTGACATTGTTTTGTCCGTGTTGCCGTAGCGACTTAATTCGGTACTCCTACGGAGTACAATTAACGCTATAATTGTACTCCTCTCGACCAATCAGAGTCGAGTARTTTTGTTGAGTGTACTATAAGGGATAAAATGGCATGCGCACTGGAAACGATTATCAAACTATGAATTGGCTTTAGACAAATTATATTGCATTGTTGACTTTCATATYGTGCACGTGGGAAGATTGGGTCAAAAGCAGACATGCTTGAAGAAGAAGCCATCAATATATGAATTTCCACTAATTTCTTGTTCACCTTGTCCTGAAAATTGAGCTACATTTGTCGAGATCAATGGAATAGACCTCCTCAGCTCGGGTGCAATGTTTTCCCATTTCGGACCACGTGTCATTCCCTAGAGTATGATTCATTTGTTTAACGCCTGCGCTTGGTTGCACATGAATATTGATACAAATCAAACAAAGAATCTTGTTCTCATGGGAATGACACGTGGTCTGAAATGGCAAAACATTACGCTCGATCCGAGGAGGTCTATTATACAACTACATATATACCCTGCAGCAGACAAAACGAAGAATTTCAATCTTCTGAGAATTGGAAACCTATTGTTATGTCCTCCAAACTGAGCTGCATTACGACGTACTGCAAATGGTCTATTGAAAATATTCGTTTTATAGCCTGGTCAGCAGTTGACGGTCTCCACGGTCCCTTCACTCGATATGACACCCGGCAATGAATCAGAAGAATATTACGTTTCATTGTATTGCTGAAAGTTGTGAACGGAGCATCACGGCGGATAATAATAATGATATAGGATCGGAGGAGTCCATCCATCCGTCCAGTAACATCATATCCTTATCCACCTCGTAACGTGGAGTAAATAAAATCTATGGTCTCGCCTCCAATTCTTAGACTTGGAAAAACATATCTGAGTGAAGTTTATTGAGAGATTCGGATTTTCTCCGGATTCAGGTGTTCCTGTTTTAATCTGCCAAAATTAAAGCACTAAATTCCAATTCGATATCTGAATTAGCCATGCCGTGACTTTGATCAGCCCAGAGGTTGATTCAGTTATCAATAAAGTTTGAAGGCCCAACTCATTTAAAGAACTTAAAATTACCATTACGTATTCTTCAKTATATGGCAAAGTTATCCGCGGCAAAAACCTTTGTAGAGATGATGATATATTAGGAAGCGTCGTGGGTACTTCGCTTTTAACCTGAAAAATAAGGTTCATAGTTGAGAATATCATGCAGTACGATTCAACCTACAAATACATTTATTCATAATGTTACGAAGTTACTGCCAGTTCGGCAATAAGAATTTGTTTTGGTAGAAGTACTAGTTAGTTTGCCACACAACGACGTTATATTGATGTAGCATTGGCCATGGTGACCCGTGCTTCTTAATACGACTAACATGAAGCTTATCCCGGTGTAAGTAAGTGATTTAAAACTTCTGATGATGCTAACGACTCGCGGTGAGCGCACGGCCACGATAACCGATGTTAACCGAAGAGGATACAACTTATTTGCCTTCTCTAGCTGGCTTTCATAGCCGGATTAGGAAACGTTAATTCAACTTTACATCGACCAGTTTCATACCATATACTCTCAATTAACCTTTCTGGAATTAAGGAAGAGACGTGGAACGAGGGTAGAAATATTAATTTAATTAAAAAAAGAACCCCATCACATGAATGATGGCGATTTCGGTAGATGGAAAGAACCAAACAACTGAGAGATAATGCTTTTAGGAAGCCGATCGCGATTTCCAATAACTGTATACTGGCTTCAAACAAATCCCCCTATCCTCCATGTGGCTTGAAAAAGCATTTAGCTTTGAAATTATTGCTTCAAATGTAAGAAATTGTGTTACTTCGAGTGTTCTTTCTCAAGAACAAATGCCGATCGAATTCCTTGCCTTCTACCTTCAAAACTCTGTTCGTACATCCAAAAGCTATATAGTGTTTGGCCATAGTTAGAAAGACAACAAAGTACCTTGTATATCATAGATATCTATCAAAATGTAGTGATCTCTCGAAGATTCGTAGTAAATTTCTTAGCAAATTAACCGCGAAATTCGACCCGATAGTCTCGTTTTGATGCTACGTTCATCACGATACCGCTGGTTTGTTGGGGTGGCGTGCTCATCTACGGTAAGGGCTATTGAGTGACACATCCGGGAAATTAGAGAATAAAATACTAGATTCCAGTTTCCGAATATCAATTTTCCTCTCACGGCCATTTATATTTATAAGGCAAAGTCATAATAGTGAAAGTTTAAGCGCTTCGTGAAGAAAATCGAAAGTCAAAGCAAGAAAAGTAACATAGGAATATTAAAGAATGACAACCACGCAATATAATCCTACCATTTGTTTTGGTGATTCAATTTGCCAACATGCGATTTTTTGTGGGTCAATTTCAGGAGTTTTAACTTTGACCAAACAAAGCAAAACAGTCCAAAATAACGACTTTCCAGTGCYTTTTTTGATATAAAAAAATCATCTTTCTACCGCGATTTGTAAAGCCATAAAAACCTGGCCTTTTTATCGCTCAATATCCATAATTTCGTCTCCAGATCTGGCTTTAAAACGGACGTATTTGCTCAAGAACTCAACATATATTTTGGTACTGGTTCGACAAGCTGTCCGAGTGGAGACTGGTACCTAATTTGGAGAAAATGCCCGCGAATTTTGCTTTAGAAATATTTTCAATCGTTTTTTCCACCTWTTTTCAAATCCTTTTAATAGTATGATGATATTACAGTGTTTCTTTAAAAAATGTTTCCCCATTCTTTACATAATATCCCTCATTTGGAAATGACCAGAGTTGATGGGCAATTCTGTGCGATGATTCATTTAACAAAATGCCCTTAATCTACTGACCTATCTTTTAAACCTTCCTATGTTTATTATATATCTCTGTGCTTTGCAGCAGACACATGCGCTTTAAGAGCGCCTATTTTTTCCCTCTTTCTTTTGTCGGTAGTGTAAACTTGATAGTTATTAGTTGTCACCATGTTGCTAAGGATTCTTTTGCTTTTCCAAATAATGTAACTACAAGACCTATTGGGCACCGTAGATTCGTGAAACAATTACTCACTGCTTAGTGCATAAGCGTGGGCTCAGTTTAATGACTGATTTATAGACGAAATCGCGCTGTTATATCACTTTTATAACTAATTAATTCAGCCAAATCTCCCTTGCGAAAAAATCTGCTGGATGGCAAACAAACTTTAAATGGCAGATGTCAAAGTAACACTCTATGGCCTTCAAATGATTTTGTCAAGAAAAGTACTCACTCAAATGCAGCAACTGATAGAAGGCAATATGGTGTAACGTTGATATCTGTTTTATTGTGACTTTTAGGCCCCGTCCACACGTATCCGGAAATTTTTGCATCCGCAATTTTTTTTTGCGGATACGGGTTGCGTCCACACGTGTCCGGAAATTTTTGTGTCCGTATCCGCAAATTTTACGAAAACGGAGACGTGTGGACGGTGATGAAAACGATTCGAATACGCTGCGTGTGGACGCAAACATTTTCGTATCCGCAAAAAATAATTTGCRGATACAAAAATTTCCGGATACGTGTGGACGGGGACTTACAGTTGTCTCTAACTTGTGAAATTCGTAACATTAGTCACATTATTGATATCTGCTATTGCGTTGTATCTTAAAATCGAAAATATCTAATAAGGGAACAAATATTTTGGAAAAAGTTTTGGATATGAGATTGATAATCTAGAAAAAAGTAATTGAATAAAGGAAGTCCGATTTTGCCATCTAGTAACAGTCATGTGATTATTTCCTGCCTATTCATTGAAAACGCGGAATAAAGTGTTGGGAAAATAAATTTATAGTATAAAATAAAATTTWAAAAAATTATCAAAAAATATTAATAGAATCTTCTACAAACTTTATCTTTAAAGCCAAACTGGAAGTAACGGCTGCTGTCCCTTTGATTCGGTAGGAAAACTGCTAAAAACGCCACGGTGAATATCATCAGCACARCAAAAAGAGCTCGGATTTGTCGATTCGAAGACATCGTACATGGAACCCGGAAAACAATACTAGACTAGTKATATWGYTCTAGTACCCTCGACCAAGTAGATCTATTACAGCATCAATGRGATAATATTGACTGATTGTTCTAGGTTATAGGTGATTAAGACTATTTCAAAGCAACACCGCTATTGAGCGCTTTGAGTTCTGGATACGTCAGTGAGTGGGCTACTCATCACGTCACCTATGACCATCCCCCTCACCCCTCCCCCTCTCCCCTCCCTCCCCTCTTTTATTGTGTGTGTTGTAAGATATTATTTGAAAAAGCAATAATTGGATAGGAGAGAAAAATTTGGACAACTTTATTTCAAAAACGCCAAAGGTATAAAACACGAAAGTGTAAAATACGATAATTTGGTATAAGTGTTTATTAGATACTGTCAATCTGCAAGCTTATTTTAAATTGACGGAAGCAGAGAACATGACTTAAGCGGAGATGTAAAGTAATGAAAATTGTGTAGTTCCAGACA